GCACAGGCAACCATTTCCAACAGAAAAGACATGGAGAGCCAAACAGATACTAGAGCTTGTCCACACCGATGTTTGCGGTCCAATGCGCACGCCTTCAGTTTCGAAGAACAGGTACTTCATACTCTTCATCGATGATTACTCTAGGATGACATGGGTGTATTTTTTCCAAGAAAAATCCGAAGTCTTTAGAATATTCAAGAGATTCAAGAACTTCGTGGAGAAACAGAGTGGTCATCAAATCAAGAAGTTGAGAAGCGATCGAGGTACCGAATACAACTCAAAAGAATTTGACAAGTTCTGTGAAGATGAAGGTGTAGAGCATCAACTAACAGTAGCATACACTCCACAACAAAATGGGGTATCCGAAAGGAAGAACCGCACAGTCATGGAGATGGCAAGGTCTATGTTAGCTGAAAAAGGAATGCCTAAAACGTTCTGGGCAGAGGCAGTATATACTTCAGTCTATCTTCTAAACCGGTGTCCAACTAAGGCGGTTTTAAACAAAACACCTATTGAGGCATGGTCTGGACAAAAGCCTTCAGCCAAACATTTGAAGGTCTTCGGAAGCATATGCTACATTCATGTTCCCTCTGTTAAAAGGCACAAATTAGAAGACAAGACAGAGAAGGGCATCTTCCTTGGCTATAGCTCCAAATCCAAGGGATATCGAATCTACAATCTCGAGACAAAGAAGTTGGTGACAAGTCGAGATGTGGAGTTTGACGAGCAAGCCTCTTGGAATTGGGAGACAGAAAAAGTTGAAAGAAAGACAACTACTGTCCAACTAGAGGAAATACCAGAAGAGGAAAATCACGATCAACAAAGCCCCACGTCTACTCCAAGATCCTCTTTTGAAGCTAATACATCAAGAAATCACGGCTCCTCACCAGAGTCCCCACCTCTTCGGGTAAGAACTCTAGCAGACCTATATGAGTCTACTGACATCTATGAAACATGCAACTTTTGCTCCTTGGAGCCATATAGCTACACCGAAGCCTCCAAAGAAAAAGTTTGGATTAAAGCAATGGAGGAGGAGATCAAAATGATAGAAAAGAATGATACTTGGGAAATGGTAGATCTTCCACATAACAAGGAGGTTATTGGAGTCAAATGGGTGTATAAAACAAAATTGAACCCCGATGGCTCAATTCAGAAGCATAAGGCAAGGCTGGTTGCAAAGGGGTATGCTCAAATACCGGGAGTTGACTACACAGAGACGTTTGCACCAGTTGCCCGGATGGACACAATAAGAACACTCATAGCTCTTGCTGCTCAGAAGAAATGGAAAATTTATCAGCTAGATGTCAAGTCAGCCTTTCTAAATGGAGAGCTACGAGAAGAAGTGTATGTGGAGCAACCAGAAGGATTCATCAAAGAAGAAGGAAAAGTTCTTCGTCTAAAGAAAGCGCTTTACGGGCTCAAACAAGCTCCACGAGCGTGGTATAGCAAGATTGATGGATACTTCACCCGTCAAGGGTTCAGGAGGAGTAAGAACGAGGCTACACTATACATCAAATCCCAAGGTAAATCTGACATTCTCATCGTCTCTCTATATGTTGATGACTTAATTGTCACGGGAAATAATTCCAAATTAATTGAAGAATTTAAGAGAGACATGATGAACACTTTTGAGATGAGTGACTTGGGATTAATGCACTACTTTCTTGGCATGGAGATAAGTCAAGAAGAAGAAGGCATATTCTTATCTCAATAAAAATATATTAAGGACATGCTAAAGAAGTTTAAAATGCAAGACTGCAAAGTCGTCGTTACTCCACTGGTTCCTAATGAAAAATTGAAGAAAGAAGATGGGTCAAAGCAGACGGATGCAACCAATTACCGAAGTTTGATTGGGAGTCTACTCTACTTAACGGCTACGAGGCCGGACATCATGTATGCTACAAGTTTGCTCTCGAGGTTCATGGAAAGTCCAACTGAGACTCATTATGGAGCGGCAAAGAGACTCCTTAGGTATCTACAAGGAACCATCAATTATGGTATTTGGTACAAAACAACTCCTGACTCACGACTAACTGGATATAGCGACAGTGATTGGGCTGGATCTCAAAGAAGCAAGATTCTGTTGCACTATCTTCAGCCGAAGCCGAGTATGTTGCAGCAGCCGGAGCAGCGTGCCAAGCTATATGGCTAAAAAGAATATTAGAAGACATGGGTGAATTGCAAAGTTCTGCGACTCAAATATTTTGCGACAACAAGTCAGCTATTGCGATGGCTAAAAATCCAATTCAGCACAATCGTACTAAGCACATCGATATCAAGTATCACTTCTTGAGAGATGTCCAAGCAAAGGGGCATATTGAGATGAAGTACTGCCCAACAGAAGAACAATTGGCAGATATTTTCACGAAGGCCCTTCCAAGAGACAGATTCCAGTTTCTGCGAAGAATGCTTGGAGTCACCGACAAATGCATCAAGGAGGAGTATTAAATAGTGATGCATTTATCTAGAATATTCTATGTAGAAAAGGCTAGAGATGATCTAGAGAGTTAAAGCTAGAAAGTATTCTAGAAAATTCTCTACTAGAGAATTCTTATGTAAAATCTAGAGTAATTAGACATAGATGTAGAATACTCTAGAATCATAGCATTTAATAAGGATCTAGAATGATCCTCTAGCTCCTATAAATAGGACTCATTGTACTCATTTGCAAACCAAGCAAAACCAAGAAACATCAATACAATACTACTTTTCTAGAGACAAGAGCTCTCCTCTAAAACACATCATCTACATTACACCTCACTAAAATCACTTATTCTACTCATACAACCAACAACCTCTTCTATTTTCTAACAAAAACTCCCAACCAAAACCGTCCCATCTTCCCTGCGCATCCCATCCTCCCTGCGCGTTACTTCTCCCCCAAACATCGTTTTATGCGCCTTACTTCATCACACAACCATAGATCTTTGCGCTTTACTTCCTCGCACCACCATCAAACTCAACCTTCCTTCCTCGTCCAGCATCATCGAACTCAGGCACCTCCGAACAACAGTGGCATCAACCTCCTCTGCCTCCGCTTCCTTGGCCGTTTCCGTCTCTATCACCACTGCCATCGTCCTTTCCCTCTAACCGAGAACACAGCAGTGGTCTTCGTCGTCGCTGCATCCCTGGCCCGCGCCGCCGCACTACACCGCTTCCTTTTTCTTCTCTTTCTGTCCGACGCCGCCCAAATGAAGACGGTTGCAGATCTGCGACGACGGTTCGGAGGTTGGGGAGTGTGTTTAATGTTAGATCTAGATCCATGGAAACGGCGACTATAGTTAGATTTGGGACAGTGGTACGGTTGGTGTGGCTGTGGGAGGGTTGTGAGGTCATGGTGGTCATCGATGGGGTCTGGTGGGGGCTTGTTTGGCAGTGACAAGGCTGGGAGGTGTGTGGGATGATGTTTGGCCGGGGCCGGCGGCATCACCCACCGGAGAGGACGGCGTCTGCGGCGGTGTAGTGACAGCGCGTGGGGTGTGACAGTGACGATGGTGTGGGGATTTAGAGTGATGATGCAAGGCATATTTGGTCAATGGAAGGTAGCGATGGTGGCTGCAGTGGTGGTGCTCTGGCGGTGCAGGCTGGGTGACGGGAAGATTTGGTTGAAATTTACTTTTTTTGTCGAAAAAAGTCGACGAAAATTTTTCGGCGATCAAAGTGACACCCCCGTCAGTGACACAATGGTGGTGTCAGTAACACCGGCGGTGACGTCAGTGACATCGGCGGTGGCTTCAGTGACATTGACGATAATGATAGTGACATTTAAAAGTGACCTAAAAATGTGACAATGAGAAATAATAGTGACATAAAAAACGACAGTGACATAAAAAATGACAGTGACATCATGTTTTCCAAATATGTGACCTTCTTAGTCATATTTTTGTCCTTCTATAAAAATGGTTACATTTTTTGAAATTAGATTCAATTTGGTAATATTGAAGGAAAAAACCCTTAACTTTCATGCGTCAGATATTATTTAAATTAATGTATTAATATATATATATATATATATATATATATATATATATATATATATATATATATATAATATCCGGATAGTTAACTATATCATCACTATTCATACACGATACAAAAAAAACTTCAAAATTGGATTGTGGAAGTACGTTTCTTGAAAAAAAGGATAAAGAGGCAAATAAGCCCTTATATGAGGAGGCTATGTCCGGCCGTCGTCATTTGGGGAGATTTCCAGTGGAAATTTTTGATGCAATTTTTTTGAACATATTATTCATTAAGTCTAATTTACTCATACCAAATTTCAGCTAAAACTTCAATCGGGAAGACATTTAAATGAATTATTGAAGATAACTGTGCTTTTAACTGCGCAGTTATCTTCAAGAATTGATTTGAATGTCTTCCCAATTGAATTGTTAGCTGAAATTTGGTATGCGTAAACTAGACTTAATGAATAAGATTCTCAAAAACTTTCATCAAAAAATTACACCGGGAACTACCCCAAATGGTGACGGCCGGACATAGCCTCCTATACAATGACTTATTTGACCTTTTTTGGTTAGTACATGGGCTTATTTGCTCATTTTTCCTAAAAAACAATGAAAGAACATAGCATAACAAGGATATGTTTGACACAACTAACTGAAAAGACACCTTTGTGAGTTTTTTAATAACTGTTAGCTTTGAGTGAATGAAAAGATCTTAAAGAGAAAAAGAATGGTTGTTTGGTAAAAAACTGATTGTTTGATTTAGTTAGGTTTGGTATATACGCTGTTAGGACTAATTAATACTAAAAGTCACAGGATTTTTTCAGATGCTAGTCCTTGTAGCATCTCAAAAAGATCTTTTAATTTTTGAAAATCTCTTAAAAATTGTCAAGTCAAACATATAACTAGAAAATTTTAGAGACTTTTTGAACAGTACAAAATGTAGAAGGTAGAGACTTATGTCTGCAAAACATAGCACATAGAACAATATTAGAGGTTTGTGATTACATATATTAATCGAGTCTTTTTTTTTATCAGATGGTCGAAGATTGCTTCAAGATTACCAGGAAGGACAGATAATGAGATCAAAAATCATTGGAACACCCACATTAAGAAAAAACTTCTTAAGATGGGAATAGATCCTGTTACACATGAACCTATCAGCAACTACCCAAAGACAACAAATGATAGTCAATCATCGATAACCACTGACAAACCGCCGGCAACCTCTTCGCCGGACTCTGACAAAACATGTGATCAACATCAGGTAGAAGCTGTACCTCATAGTACATCCCCCATAGATGGCACCTCAGAAGAGCAGAGCTCTTCCTCTATTACCACCAATGATGAATCCCATCTGATCATAGATATCATGGGTGATGAAGACGATCCCCTGCTCAGCTCCTTACTCGAAAACCATGCAACAATTCCTCCATCACCTACTGTTGACCAGCCGTCATTAATCTTTGACTTCAATGATCTTAATATCCCAACATTGGTTGACAATGACTTGGATTGGCTGTTAAACTGTCAAGATTTCGGGATCAATGGTTTTGGATGTGATGATTGCTTCAACGATGACACTGCGGAATTGCACATTTTCAACACCGTAGAATCTGACGACAAGTCACAATAATTTCACTATATTATTATTAAGATAAGAAAATCATTACTACTACTGTCAAGTTAAATGCAATCAAGAATGTCTTCATAGGTAGGTAGCTAGATTAACATCAAAGTACAAGAAGTTCTTCAACACTAAGTGGTACTGGTCATGCTACACAAAGGTAACATGATATCTGTATAATAAAGTGAGGTAGTTTTTTTAGTAGTTTATACGTAGTACCCTGGAAGATATATTGAAGAAAAATCCAATTGAAAATGATGAGTTGTTAGTTTCCAAATTGTATTTGATCTTGTACTTTTAAAAAAATTGTCTCTCATAGGCCATATTGTGAGTTGTGACTACAATATAATGAGTTTTCCTAGAAAGGAATTCAACTTTGCTCCACATTTGAGACAAAATTAGACTTCGCACGTGTTTTTAAGAAATTATATGTACAAAGTTACAAACTCTATCGGTTCAAATATACGAGAAGGAAGAGTACAAATATTAATTTTTCAATCAAATGGGGTGCACACAAGAACTCTTTTGAAAATTTCTTTTTTTTTGGTCCCAGTAGGCAAACCACTTGTCGGTGGGACAAATGTTGGTAAACATTTGCCAAGTTTTTTAATAAAATAAAGTTGAAATAGAAAAGAAGGGTGACTAGACCAATACCGCTTCGGGCATTCCTTATCAAAATACAACAGAACCAAAAGTAAATGCGTTAGATTATTGGAGGGTCGGAAGAAAAATCAAAATTTTCTTTTCCTTTAAGTTTCTGATAAAATACCTAAAGTATCAAAACCTAAATTTATCACCATCTATGTTTTGATCCATTTAGTACTGCTCGCCACGCGGATGTTGAAAATATTGGGTTAGTACTACTTCCGTCCCACTAACATTGGGAAATTAGGAGGTGGTGCGGTTATTCAAAAAAGTGAGTTTACGCGGTTGATATTGAATTGATAAAGTAAGAATACCGAAGGAATCATTTAATATCACACAAACTTTACCAAATTTGATATGAGACAATATATCTGAGTGAGACGAACCATAAAAGAAAGATGAGACAATCTTATCGGGGTGAAGGGAATAATATTTAAGAGTCGAGGATGCTTATTTTAGGAATTAGGTATGCACTTAAGTGGATCAGAAATTTAAGTGGTTCAGAAGAGTAGAGAAAATTTATGGAAAAGAAGCTAAGTTTGATTGAATATTGTTTTAGACATGATACAGGTGTGAGTACATTTAGAGCAAGTTAACAAGAAGAGCAACAGAAAGAAGATAATCTGCTAGAGAATGGTTAGGGAGAATTAATCAAAGCCCCTTAATCAAAATGTTAGTAGTAGGTCACCTGCTGATGTGGCGCACACGTGGCGGCCAACGTGTGCTCCATGTAATCAAAGCCACTGCTGATTGGACTGTCACATGTGCGCCACGTCGGCGGGTGACTTGCGGACATGATAAATAACCTGCAAATGGACTCAATTGAACGTTTTTACAATTTTTAGGGTTCGATTGATTTTTTTAAAAGTATGATAACCTAATTGACTTTTTCGTGATAGTACGAGGATCAAATTAATAGTTTTCTCTAAAAAAATACTAGTATATATTAAACACCGAATGTAGAATGCTTATAAAAGAATTAAAGCCTATGCCATTCAGGACACTAAATTGAAAATAAACAAATCAAAGTACCGGAAAAAGAATGCTCCCTCCGTCCCGGAATTATCTTCATACTTTCCTTTTCGTTCTGTCCCAAATTTATCTTATCTTTACCTTTTTAGCAAAAAATTTATGCTTCACAACCATTCTTACACATTTTTACTAATTTCTCTTTCCTCTACACAACTCTCCACTATACATTTTCCACTATCTTAATATGTGTGTCAGTTGTACTTGATAAATATGGGAGAGAGGGAGTAATTATTTTGCACGACATAATAGAAGATGTAGCGCTAATTTATTTATGAAGTAAATAATTACTCCGTATAAGATAACATGACAATGATCAATAAAGAATTGTTGGAGGTAAAATACAACTCGTAACTCAAATAACAAGAGAAATTTGATTCAATTTTATGCGTGAAATCACATAAAGTTTTGTTATTACAAAAACTTTAATATAAAGTTTAGTGCCAAATAACAATTCGTATATAGTACGAGTATTTATCATTACATAATTGATTTTTAATTAACCTAATATTTTATTTTAAGTCAATATTTAAAAAAATCATGTCCTCAAATAATCAATTTTTTCTTGATCCGCCAGACCGGACAATTCCAAATCAGTCGAAACAAAGAGGGCCGTACTTATGCAGAACATTTAAAGAAACAACCATTCTTGTTGTACACACCCTTGTACACACCTTGTACACACCATGTTTGTGAAGCTTTTTTTTTTGTCTGTGAATCCGGTTCACAGATAATATTTTGTTTGTACAAAACATTGTCTGTGAATCGATGTTCACAGACAAAAAAAAAAGCTTTCACAAACAACGATGTGTACAAAAGTGTGTACAAAAATGTGTACAAACATCATTTTTCAAAGAAAAGGTCATGATCTGTGTACAATTGCGGCTGGGTATGTGTATTCATCAAATTTTGCCCCATTCCAAATAGAGGATTGTAAAGAAGTTTCTAAAGTTGACTAAAAACACATCTTACAATTAACCCCCAAAGAGCTCTTCAACCATGTATCGAGATATCGCTACCGCGGGTTTCGCCGACCAATACCATAGTTTTCTCATCTCCGGCCCCCTAATCTTTCTTGGGACGGCGCTGTGGATCTTAATCGTCCTCAAGAAGAGCAGAAATGGAAAACATCAGCCGCCACTGCCGCCAGGTCCAAGACCCCTGCCCTTACTCGGGAATCTGCTCTCGCTCCAACCCGACCTCCACACATACATGGCCGCCCTGTCCCAAGTCCACGGCCCCATATACACCCTCTGGCTCGGCAGGAAGCCCGGAATCGTCATCACCTCGCCCTCCCTAGCTCGAGAGATCTTGAAGGATCAAGACACCGCCTTTGCGAACCGCGACGTCCCTGCTGCTGGCCGGGAAGCCACCTTCGGCGGGAAGGACATCGTATGGAGCCCACATGGGCCGGAGTGGAGGATGTTGAGGAAGATATGCGTGCGGGAAATGCTCAGCAGCTCGGCTCTCGACTCGGTTTATGATCTCAGGCGCCGAGAAGTTCGGGGCACGGTGAAATACTTGTATGAACAGGCCGGGAGGCGGGTCAACATCGGTGAGCAGATGTTCTTGACTATGATCAACGTCATCACAGGCATGATGTGGGGTGGCACGATGAAGGGGGCGGAAAGGGAAACTCTTGGATCTGAATTTAGGCAGATTGTGACTGGTATTTCAGGCCTGGTGGGTTTGCCTAATGTTTCTGACTTTTATCCCGGGTTGGCAAGATATGACTTACAAGGGATTCAGAGGAAGATGAAGAAGTTGGTTGCTAAGTTGGACAAGATTTTCCAGACGGTAATTGATCAAAGATTGAGAATGGGTAGGAGGGATGAGATGGAGAGCAGGGACTTTTTGCAGGTATTGCTTAAGCTAAAAGATGGAGAAGGTGATGAGAGAATACCTTTTACTATCCCTCATCTCAAAGCCTTACTCGTGGTATGTTGCCATGTTGGTTAGAGTCTTCCTTTTACCATACAGCCAAAAAATTTGTTTGTTCTGGTTCTAGCTATATGATGAATCATGTCATTCAAGATTTAGGTTATATTTGCATGACTATTTCACCTTAAAATAAGTTGAAATTATATTATTTTCTACAGGGCTACACCTTATGCTGGTTCTGTTTTTGAGAACTTTGGTACTATGAACCATCAACAAAGTACATAATAGAACTTTTATTGACCTTATAAGGGAAAACTTATGTAAGAGCATAAACTCATTATTTCAGCTATTAGTGATGGTCATGTAAACAAATCAATTTGATCTCTGTTGGTGGTAACAGGATATGGTTACTGGTGGAACTGACACAACCTCAAACGTGGCAGAGTTCGCCATGGCCGAGATCATGAAGGAACCAAAGGTCCTAAGGAAATTGCATGAAGAGATAGACACTATAGTGGGAAAGGACAACATGGTTGAAGAGTCTCACATTCACCAGCTTCCATATTTGTCTGCAGTAATGAAAGAAACTCTTCGCTTGCACCCTGTCCTGCCACTTTTGGTGCCTCATAGCCCGAGCAAAACGTGCACCGTTGGGGGATATACAGTCCCACAAGGCGCTCGTATTTTTTTGAATGTATGGGCTATCCATAGAGACTCTTCTGTATGGGAAAACCCATTGGAGTTTAAGCCTGAGAGGTTCTTGGACAACAAAGTTTGGGATTACTACAATACAAAAGACTTTGACTACTTTCCATTTGGTTCAGGGAGAAGGATTTGTGCCGGGATCGCCTCAGCTGAGAGGATGTTCATGTACACGCTAGCCTCAATCATTCACTCTTTTGACTGGAAACTTCCCCAAGGAGAGACATTAGAGCTCTCAGAGAAGTTTGGGATTGTGTTAACAAAAAGGGTTCCTCTGGTTTTGATCCCTACTCCAAGATTGTCCCACTCAACACTCTATGAGTAATTTAACTATTTAACGTATAAGGCTAGCAAGATGTTAGCCACTCAACACTACGTACAGCTACACTTCTTGTCTTAAAAGGCATATCCTTATTCCAAAGTTAATATATAAAAAATAAGAATGAAAATTTAATAAACATATGACTCACTGGGGCACATGGTCCAATATTTTAAGCCCATTGTTCTTTAAGAGTATAAAAGTGCTTCGAGTTTAATTACATCATAGTAACTATAAATTAAAGCATATCTATAAGTAATATTTTAAGATGACCTTTGACTAACCATATTCTATCCCTTTTGATCTTGGAAAACATATCACCTTTTCTCCCTTTTACAGTTACTTCTCATTTCCCGTTTTGAGATGCCTCACATTTTTCATTCCAATTCCTCTTGATTTGTATGTTCTTCCTCATTTTCTTTACACTAACATAATCATACCTATCTACTTTATTAATTAGTAATTTAATTTAAAGCTAAGAAAGTTTTGGAATTAAGATGTATAGTACTATTTATGGGTGATGACATACTGGGCGGCTTTTTAAAAAACTCAATCTTACCATTAATCATCAAATTCTTTTAAGGTAATGACATCAATGTTACAGTAACTTTGTTACTTAAAGTAAGATGATGGATAAAAATTGTAGTGACTATATGGGTAACTTTTAGGTAATATAACTATGTTCAGTTTTACACTATAACGATCATGTTATTACACACACAGTAATTTTAGTTACAATTTATCAATGAGTTTAGTTTCCCTAATATTTATTGAGAAACCTCATTCTTTTGAAAGTAGTTGATGTAGATATCACTAGAAATTAATCAAGTGCTATCGTATATGCTAAGTGAAATGTTAAAACAGTACACATTCCCATGCATTGTAATAAATTCAAATTTATTTTGTATTATTATTTAGGAATTAAAGAATATATATACACACACACACAAGTGGGGAAAGTTCCCGAAATAGGACTAAAACATTTTCAAAATTCCAAAATAGGACTGTCATGTTTTTTATTCCCAAAATAGGACTAATTACTGCCATATTTAGAAAATCCTGACATGTTTGAAGTCTGGTATGCCAAAACATGACAGTAATTAGTCCTATTTTGGGAATAAAAACATGACAATCTTATTTTGGAATTTTCAAGCTGTTTTAGTCCTAGTTCGGGTAATATCTCTTGCACTAATGATCATAATCTTTTTGCAGGAAGAAAAATAATTTTCCATTTAAGTAAATGGTTATATATGAATTTACTTGTTAATCATTAGAGGCGGTTAAGCTTTACGTGAATACAAGACACGTATATTATTCACCTCATTGGACAAGATTATATGCAACTATGTTCTCAATAGTCAATAAGAGTGTTGTATTTTCTTTTTTTGCATGGATTATATTGTTCGTAAAGTCACCTCAGCTTGTTATACATATGGTCAAACTGTGTCAAAAACAAGTGTTCATATTCAAGAGAAAATTTACCTTTATATTGACATTAAATAAATAAAAATAAAAATAATAAATTAATGAATAAATTGAGTTCGGAGATTGAAAAAAATCATTTTTGTTTTCAATGCTTCCTTTTTTATTGTGTATTCAATACTTCCTTTTATGTTAAAAATATTGAATGTTGATTAAAAAAATAAGGAGGCAGGAGGTATTGAACACAAAATGTTTTTTTTTTCATTTTGTAAACTCAACATATCAATTAGTTTATTTTTTGTTTTTATTATTTTTTAATCATTTCAAGTCAAAAGGGGTAAATTTGCTGTTATGTAAACTCGGAGCTAAACATTAAGAATATATTTGCACCTTTTAGCTACTCAAATTAGGAAGTTTAGTAAAGACATATTATACATTTTCATCACACTAACATCGAGACATGAGAAAGTGATGCAGTTATTAAGAAAAGTGATTTTATTTTGTTGATATTGAATTGATAAAGTAAGAATAAAATAAAAATGATTTGGAATCACACAAACTTTATCAAATTTGGTACTGGATAATCTTAGTAGGATGAAATGAAAAAGAAAAATGAGACAATCTTATCGAGACGAGTGAGTAATTTTTATTGATTAGTAGTCAATGAATTTTCTAGCATAATTTATGAATATGTAACTTTTAATCATTAAAACTAATATATATAGTATTAGGAAAGTTAACTTTATTATCAATCAATCATACAAGATACAAAAAACACTTTCGAATGAGATCGAGGGACATGGGACATCAAGTGTCCTCCGTTTCCTAACACTCAAGTTGGATGAATTTTGACTAATTTTGTTGATTTATTAAAAAATTATGTTTAAAGTATTTGTTATTACTAAATAAACTAAAAATTTATATGAAAAATAACTAAAATGATATCTACATTAACTTCGGTCAATACTGTCAGAAAAGTAACTTCAATCTTACTTTTGCTTATTACTCCCTTCATCCTGAAAAGTTTCGCCAATTTGACTTTTCTTGATAAATAACAATCGGCTTTGACCAATGATATTTTTTAACACGAAAATAATTAGAATATGAAAATTATATCAAAATGTTCCTTATTCAAACTATTTTCATAAAAGTATAAAATTTATAAATTATATACAAATATAATGATCAAAATCATTCTCCAGGTTTGTCATCATTGACAAAGAAAAGTCAATATGATGAACCTTTTCGAGACGGAGGTAATATTACACAATTCAACGCGCAAAATTAAAAGTTACGTGTTTGATGAAAAAACTAATTGATAAGCCTAATAAGCAGGCCACCAAAGGGGCTCTTAGGATCTTTTATTTTTAACACATGGTCGAAGACTGCTTCAAGATTATCCGGAAGCACAAATATAGTGAGATAAAAATTAAAATCATTTGAACACCCACGTTAAGAAACAGATGACAACAACTCCGAAACCACGCGGGCAGTACCTATTGATAATTTTTTTTTGATAATCCAGATATCGGGGTTTACGCTCTCATAATCCTGGAGTCTATGAACTACCCTCCAAAATTCCTAGACAATTCATCCGGATCTGATCACAGTCAGTCTCGTCAGTACTGGCTCCAAAGGACGAATCCACCAGGACTTACATCACCTTTCAGGCTGCTCCTCCCATCACACGAACTTGTTACCTTCATTACCATCATCTCCCTTCTCGGCCGCTGAGCAACTCCGTGAAGGTAGGAAGAATCATTGAGAGCAAGACCCCCCTCCTCTCCCCTAAATGTGCCTAGCGGGATTCGAACCCGAGACCTCCGTAGGACACGGTAACCTTCCGGCCAGTGAGCTGGAATGGTTGGTTACCTATCGATAATCTTAATACCATTGTTGGATAATGTTGAGAATATTATACAGAATTCGAAGATGGAGATGAAGAACGAACGAAGCTTTTGGAATTATTAGCGGAAGAAGATAAGCAAGTCTTAGGGTTTTGAATAGTAGAACTTGCTGAATAAAATAATACAAGAGGTATTTATACAATAATGACTAATGGTCTAATACGAATGGGCTAAAAGATAGAAAGCCCAATGACAAAATAAAAGAGTAAACAGGTCCATTAAGCCCAGCAGTTTGATCCAATAAGCTTTATTCTTAATACGCCCCCTCAAGAGGAGCATGTATATCCAGCATGTTCATCTTGACTGCAAACTGATGGAATAATGGATTCCCAAGAGGTTTTGTATATATATCTGCAAGTTGAAAGTTATTTTTAATATGAATCAAATTTATTAATCCAGATAATATTTTATCTCTAATTAAATGAAAATCTAATTCAATATGTTTAGTTCTTTGATGTTGAATAGGATTATGAGCAAGATGATAAGTTGATTTGTTATCAGTATATAAAATGATAGGTAAAGTGAACTGAATATGTAGATCATTAAGAATGTAATAAATCCACTGAGCTTCACAAACAACATTTGCACAAGCCCTGTATTCAGCCTCAGTAGAAGACCTACTAACTACTTGTTGTTTCTTAGATTTCCAAGACACCAAAGAACTGCCAATATAAAAAGCATAACCAGAAACACTTCTTCTAGTATCAACACAAGCAGCCCAATCTGAATCAGTATAGGCTTGAATAGATAAATCTGAATCAGAGGAATAGAAAAGTCCTTTACCTGGGGAGTTCTTGAGATATCTAAGAATATTATGAGCTGCATTCATATGAATGTCAGTAGGATAAGCAAGAAACTGACTTAAAACTTGCACACTGTAAGCAATATCAGGTCTGGTAACAGTTAAATAAAGCAATTTGCCAATTAAGGTTCTATAGGATTTAGGGTCATCAAGGACAGTTCCATTATCCTTTGAAATTTTAATTTTTGAATCCATAGGAGTATTTGAAGGTTTACAGTGAAGATAACCATATTCTTTTAAGATATCTAGAGTATATTTCCTTTGACATAGGTTTATGCCTTTGTTAGATCTAGCAATTTCTATGCCTAATATGTATTTCAATTCTCCAAGATCTTTTATAGTGAACTTATTGTGCAAAAAAGTTTTTACAGCAAAGATTTCTTCCATACTGTTGCCAGCTAGAATAATATCATCAACATAGACTAAGATAGCAGTAAAATAAGATTTATCAGTTTTAGTGAACAAAGAAGAATCAGCTTTAGATTGAATATAACCAAAGGTTTTAAGGGAATCAGAAAGTTTACAAAACCATTGTCTTGATGCTTGTTTAAGTCCATAGAGACTTTTGATAAGTTGACAAACTCTTTTGTCATCAGCAGGTAGATAACCTGGAGGAGGCTGCATGTAAATAACTTCATTTAGATCACCATGTAAAAAGGCATTATTTACATCAAGTTGATGTAAAAACCAGTGTTTAGCACTAGCAATTGCTAAAATGATTCTAACAGTTAATTTCACAACAGGTGAAAAAGTATCAAAATAGTCAAAACCCTCTTCTTGAGTATACCCTTTAGCAACTAATCTAGCCTTATATCTATCTAAAGATCCATCAGGTTTTAGTTTAGTTTTATAGACCCATTTGCAACCTATTATATTCTGATTTGAAGGAAGATTAACTAAAATCCAAGTATTGTTTTTCTCAAGAGCATCAATTTCAGAGGACATAGCTTTCTGCCATTCAGGAAACTTAGAAACTTGTTTAAAAGTTTTAGGTTCAGTAATGTTGGAAAGAGCAGCAGTAAAACAAGAATGAGAAATACTTAATCTATTAGCAGAAATATGATTTTGAATAGGATATCTTATAAAATTGCAAGAAGAAGAAGTCTG